TATTTAGGATTATATTACTGGAGTGTAAGTGTTTTTACGATTAGTATAGAAGGTAAGTGTTTAGGACTGTATTTTTGGAGTGTTGGTGTTTATACGATCAGTGAAGATGGTAAGTTTTAAGGACTGTATTACTGAAATATAAGTGTTGTCACGATCAGTGAAAAATGTTGGTATTTAGGACTGTATTACTGGAGTGTTAGTGTTGTTAGGACAATTGAAGAAGGTAAGTTTTCTTGACTGTTTTACTGGAGTATTAGTGTTGTTACGATCAGTAGAGAAGGTGAGTAGTTAGGTCTGTATTACTGGAGTGTTAATGTTATGACGATCAGTGAAGAATGTGATTATTTAGTACCGTATTACTGGAGTGTTAGTATTGTTACGATAAGTGAAGAATGTGACTATTTAGTACTGTATTACTGGAGTGTTAGTGTTGTTACGATTTGTGAAGAAGATTGGTATTTAGGATTGTATTACTGGAGTGTTAGTGCTGTCATCACCAGTGAAGAAGGTTAGTATTCATGACTGTATTACTGGAGGGTTTGTGTTGTTATGATCAGTAGAGAAGGTTGCTATTTGTGATTGTATTACTTTTGTTCTAGTGTTGTTACAATCACTGAAGAAGACAAGTGTTTAGGACTGTATTACTGGAGTGTTAGTGTTGTTACGATCAGTAGAGAAGGTTGGCATTTATAACAGTATTACTTTACTGGTAGTATTGTAACGATCAGTGAAGAAGGTTGGTGTTTAGGTCTGTATTACTGGAGTGTTAGTGTTGTTACGATCTGTGAAGAAGGATGGTTTTTATAACTGTATTACTGGAGCGTAAGTGTTGTTACGATAAGTGAAGAAGATAAGTGTCTAGGACTGTATTACTGGAGTGTTAGTGTTGTAACGACCAGTAGAGAAGGTAAGTATTTAGGTTAGTGTTTAGGACTGTATTACTGGAGTGTTAGTGTTGTCATGATCAGTGAAGAAGGTTAGTATATAGGACTGTATTACTGGAGTTTTAGTGTTGTTACGATAAGTAAAGAAGTTAAATTTCAAGGACTGTACTAATGGAGTGTTAGTGCTGTCCCGATTAGTGAAGAAGGTTAGTATTTAGGATTATTATATTACTGGAGTGTTAGTGTTGTCATGATCAGTGAAGAAGGTTAGTAAATAGGACTGTATTACTGGAGTTTTAGTGTTGTTACGATCAGTAAAGAAGTTAAATTTCAAGGACTGTACTAATGGAGTGTTAGTGCTGTCCCGATTAGTGAAGAAGGTTAGTATTTTAGATTATATTACTGGAGTGTTAGTGTTTTTTCGATCAGCAGAGAAAGTAAGTATTTAAGACTGTATTACTGGAGTGTTAGTGTTGGTACGATCGGTGAAGAAAGTTGGTTTTTAGGACTGTATTACTGGAGTGTTAGTGTTGCAACGATCAGTAAAGAAGTTAAATTTCAAGGACTGTATTACTGGAGTGTTATTGCTGTCCCGATTAGTGAAGAAGGTTAGTATTTAGGATTGTATTACTGGAGTGTTAGTGTTTTTACGATCAGCAGAGAAAGTAAGTATTTAAGACTATATTACTGGAGTGTTAGTGTTGTTACGATCAGTGAAGAAGGTTGGTTTTTAGGACTATATTACTGGAGTGTTAGTGTTGTTACGATCAGTAAAGAAGTTAAATTGCAAGGACTGTATTAATGGAGTGTTAGTGCTGTCCCGATTAGTGAAGAAGGTTAGTATTTAGGATTGTATTACTGGAGTGTAAGTGTTTTTACGATCAGCAGAGAAAGTAAGTATTAAAGACTGTATTACTGGAGTGTTAGTGCTGTCACGATCAGTGAAGAAGGTTAGTAAATAGGACTGTATTACTGGAGTGTTAGTGTTTTTACGATCTGTGAAGAAGGTTGGTGTTTAGGGCTGTATTACTGGAGTGTTAGTGTTGTTATGATTAGTAGAGAAGGTTTTGTATTTTGGACTGTATTACTTTAGTGCTAGTGTTGTTAAGATCAGTGAAGAAGATAAGTATTTAGGACAGTATTACTGGAGTGTTAGTGTTATTACGATACGTGAAGAAGGTGAGTATTTAGGACTGTATTACTGGAGTGTTAGTGTTCTTACGATCAGTAGAGAAGGATGGCATTTATAACAGTATTACTTTACTGGTAGTATTGTAACGATCAGTGAAGAAGGTTGGTGTTTAGGACTGTATAACTGGAGGGTTAGTGTTGTTACGATCTGTGAAGAAGGATGGTTTTTATGACTGTATTACTGGAGCGTAAGTGTTGTTACGATAAGTGAAGAAGATAAGTGTTTAGGACTGTATTACTGGAGTGTTAGTGTTGTAACGACCAGTAGAGAAGGTAAGTATTTAGGACTGCATTACTTGTGTCCTAGTGTTGTTACGATCAGTAGAGAAGGTTGGTATTAAGGACTGTATTACTGGAGCGTTAGTGTTTGTACGATCAGCGAAGAAGTTTAGTGTTTAGGACTGTATTACTAGAGTGTTAGTGTTGTCATGATCAGTGAAGAAGGTTAGTATATAGGACTGTATTACTGGAGTGTTAGTGTTGTTACGATCAGTAAAGAAGTTAAATTTCAAGGACTGTATTAATGGAGTGTTAGTGCTGTCCCCATTAGTGAAGAAGGTTAGTATTTAGGATTATATTACTGGAGTGTTAGTGTTTTTACGATCAGCAGAGAAAGTAAGTATTTAAGACTGTATTACTGGAGTGTTAGTGTTGTTACGATC